GGCCGCCGCGGCGGCCACGGCGGCAGCCTTGACCGAGCTGAGCGGGTGGCAGGCCGAGTGCGCGCCCGGCTGGGGCAGCGCTCGCTTGCGGCTCCCGCCGTTGAACATGGCCTTCACGTCCTCCCAGGCGAAGACGAGCTCGTCCTGGGGACTCTTGTCGGTGAGCTTGAGATGGCGACGCCACGAGTTGAAGTTGGCTGCGTCGGGCTGCGTGTACTTAGCGTCGGGCATGCGGTGGGAGTGGAAGATGAACTTGTTGGGCGAGAAGTACATGTTGCAGTAGCTGCACTTGATGCACTTGGCGCGCGAGCTATTGTAGCGCGCGGGGATAAAGCTGCCACGGCAGCCCCAGGCGCACTCATGCGACACATCGAAGGCAAAGTTGTCGGGCAGTTTAGGCGGCCGGTTTTCGCCCAGGAACGACTTGCACAGGCGCTCGGCCTCGCGCTTGGTGATCATGCCGCAGCGGCGAGAGGAGATGGGCATGGCCCCCGCGCGCCGCAGAATCTCCAGCTGCACGGGCGTGCACTGCACGCATGTGATGCCCAGCGCCACGCGGCGGTTGTGGATCTCGTTGTAGCTGAAGTTTTTGAGGAGAGTGTTGGAGATCTGTGCCAGGCACAGGCGCTCCTGCCCGTCGATCACCAAAGACACGATGGGAATGCCATAGAGGATCACCTGGCCCACCTGGTTGGGTTTGAGGTTGGCGTGGCCCGGCCGCGGTTGGCTCAGCGCGTCAGGCTGGAAGGCGCTCGACGGCGACGCCAGCAGTATGTCGTTGGGCCCCGGCAGCGGGCTGGAAGCCATCTCCGCCGCCGCCGAATCCCGGGCCGAGCCCTCCGGGTCTGCCTTGGAGACTGGAAGGGAAAGGAGAAAGCGTTGACTTGAAGCCTTCTCAGGCTAAAAGAGGAGCAATGGGGCGAGTCGCTAGCTGAGGAATTACAATAACTTCCTTGCTTTGGTTAAGACATAATTATTATGGGCCAAGGGACCAAGTTCCTGACACAAGAAACTCATTTCTTTCAAGTTCCTTCAAGGTCGCCCTTTAGAAATGCGGTGAAGCAGGGATTTGAAGCTACTTTTCTTCTGTTCTAAACATGCAAAAGAATTGAACAATATGTTTTTTTAAAAAGTCAATTCTTAATGTACTCGAGTCCTTTCCCCAAGTTATAGTCTTTCAAATAAAATGTCATGTCTGCTAGAAATGAGGAAGTAATGATAATAGTTGTAACTAGTACAGATTATGAAAGTTATGGAAAACTGGGACCTGGCCACTGAAACTCAAATTTAAAGAGAGAGATCATTCATATTTGCTTGAAAATAGATTGGTTTTGGTTAATAAAATAAACCCAAACCTTTTAAAAAGTGATTTTTGTGGTATCTGTGGTTTCCTTGGGGGAAATTCACTACTGAGTGAGACATAGCTCATTAAAGCAAAATATACACTCATCTCTTGACTTCGTTCATTCTCCTGGCCACTAGATATTGTGGTATTGTAGCTGGATTTTTTTTTTTTAAAGCAAGATAGAAAAATGTACAAAGCTATATACACAATTACACCAAAATAGGGCATTTCACCTTCAGTTTTTCAAAAACCCACTTGCTGAACTGAATAGTTCTGGTCCCAGTCAGGTGGCTTAAAAAGATGAGGCTGGAGACTTGCAGACATTTCAAAAATGTTTTTCTGTCATTTCCATGCCAATGAGCAAATCAATACAGGCAAGTGTGTTAAGCTCAGAAACAGTGCAAAGAAAGTAACGGTTCTTAGAGATCTTTATTAGAGGGCGTTAAGAGGCAAATCTAGTTGTGCTGGGAACAACCTTCTGTGACATAGGTTTTTTTCTGTTCTAAGTCATATCTGCATCTTTATGGGGGGAAAAGTACCTGACATATCTGTGGAATAGATAAACTGTGGGAGCATTGAAAGCAGAAGCCCCAGCTTGGGCCTGCGGTAAAATTCCCAATTTCATCCTCGGGCAACGGGATACCACAATGGGGAAAAGATCCAGGAAGTTGAAAATACAGAAAAAGCAAGTGAAAGAAACCTTTGTGACAAGGCGGTTAAGTCAAACCGAGTGAAGTGGTCCATTCGCTAGGAAAACAGTGACCTTTCCAGTTACGTGTGATGGAAGTGGCTCAAGATCATCCTTTGCCCTGGAAAATGACCGCTGGCCATAGCATCGCCACTCTCTGCCAAAGTACACTGGAGATGTTATTACAGCGATTTCAAAGGATACACGATTCCATCCCCTCACCCAAATGGTCATCCTACTTTCTCTGGACTCCCCACCCCCCACCCCAACGCCTTTGCCCCGCTGCCCTCTGCATCCTCAGCTCTCATTACGTGCCGGGGCCTCCAGGAAGAGGGAACAAATCTCGACGCGGTCAAAGGAGACGAGAGCCTGACTTGTCACTTCGGATGGATCAGAGTCAATATTTCCAGGGGACAGGGTGTTAAATGGCAGTTCAAGGCACAGCGATACCTGGGCCCGACACAGTCAGCCCTAGCTTCGCCAGAGGCCCTTCAATGCTCATTTGCCTCCTAAACAAGATTCTTATTATCTTAATCATATCCGAGGATAACGCGCACGCACTCTTGCTCCGCAGCCACACGCATAGCGGGCCCAGCTCGGCCTGGGAGCCGGCTCTGCGCTAAGAACAGGCAGCCTTAGCAGCCGTGAGCCGAGCAGAGCAATGTCTCCTGAGCGTCCTCCACTTTCACCCTAAACCTCCCTGAAACTCCCGTCAGAGAAGACACAAATAAGAGGTTTTAGGCTGGAAGATTTTTTAAGACGCTGAGGGGAGAAGAGACAATTAAAAGTTGGTTGAACTAAGAAAGGAAGGTGGCGAACTTCCTTATCTAGCTGAAGAGCCAACAGCCCCTAATTTATCTCCCCTGGCCTCCAAACCAACCATCACCGAAGGCCGCCCCTGCCCCCCAACCTAACCCGAAAAACCCTACACCTGGGGATCTCAATAGGGACCCGCAAGCCGGCTGCCGAGTCAGGGCCATTGGTCCCGGCTGTACCTGGTAACCCCTAGGTGTCTTTAGGCGCGTGGCTGCCGGCCCATCTTCCGAGGGCGCTCTGAGGCGAAGCATCCAAGCGGGTCCTCGAATCCAGCAGGCGGGACTCCAGCGGGCTCCGCGCGAGGATCCAGGCTTTCGTCGGCGCTAAAGGCGCTGGAACCCGGGCCGGGGGCAGAATGGCCGCCTGATTTGCGGCCGGACGTCCCCTTGACCGCAGAAAGTGTGGCCGCGCGGCAATCCGCGGCAGGCGAGCCCCAGGTGGAGCGCAGTCTGACAGCGCCTTTCTCTAGCTCTGAACTCTTGTCGGACCGAGGGGACGCCACCCAGCAGGCAGGGTGACGTCACCGTCTCCCTGACACTCCACATTAAAGGGCTGGCATGTTACAGGGAGGGAGGAGGAGAGTGCAAGCGAGAGCGAGCGAGATCGAGATCCTTGCTCAGCAGGCACGAAAGCTACCACCTAACCAACCCGCAATTGACAACAAGCTTCCCAACCTCGGAGCGAAACGCATCAACGGTGATAAAGCCGCAGATCTGAGTTAGCAATGGAAAGCTGAACAGTCTGTGCATCCCAACGACCTGGATTCTGGAAAGCCCGGATTTTAGAAGGACGCCTGCCGGTTATTGTTCCCTCCCCTCATCTCTCTGAGCCGCCCTCCCTCATGAATGATCCCTTTGGTAGGTCCAAACCAGTAGTTTCACTGTGCCTCCGAAGACATAGAAACCACAGTGAGCCGGGAGAACAGGATAGCTTCAACCCTGCGAAATGAGAAAAAAGGCAGAAGTTTCTGCTTAGGGTGCCCAATCTGGAAACTTGGAGGGAAGCATGGAGTGTGTGCACACTTTCACATTGACATTTCCTTTTCAGGACAAAGATACAGAGTCACTGCATCCTTGTTTAAAAATGTACAACTGCACGAGGACCCCATTGCGTGCATGTGTACGCTCATCTCTCAACTTCACTCAAAGTCGTCCTCGACTCCATTGTATAAGGCCAGTGCAGGCCACCCAAGCTCGAGCAAAAGGTGGGGCGGGAAAGCAAGGAGGCCCCCAACCATGACCAGCCCTTGAGCAAGTTCCCAATTCCCCCGGAAGTAAATTCCCCAGGGGGACCGTGTAGGAGTATGCCCTTAAAAAATAACTGGGATGAGAAAGAACCCTTCCCCCTGGCTTCCTCGAAGTGAGACACACCCAGAATATTAGTAAAGTGCCAATATCCTTTTGCCTCCTAAGTGATCAGCTGTTAAGAGTCAAAACGACAACCCGCTGGTTTATCCGAAAGGGAAGAAAGTATCTATTTGGAGGGCATTCTAAAAAGGACGCCTGCTGGGGCTGAGGATGGGAAATCCTTCAAATTGTTCTGTTACTACCATCACTGAATTTTCAACTGCCGCCTGATGAAACACACAGGCTTAGGGCTGGGCAGCCACATTGTGGAAATGATTGCACAACCTCCACTGAGCCCGAAGCCCAACCAGACACTGTATAGCATCAACAATAAACCACCGCTAAATAAAAGATAAAAAATGTGAAATCTTAACACTTCATCAAAGGTCAATAAAACCGAGGAGAGTCAGTCGAACAAAAACGTGAGGGGTTGTTTCTTAGGAGTGGCGGCTGTTTTAAATTAATATGTCCAGAACACAGTTTCAGAGCCACGAAAATGGTAATGTTTGTTTGGACTTAAGTTTCAAATGGCAGTGAAATAATTTGTCGCCCATTTCCTGTTTCCAAAGGCATTAGTGGTGCATATTAGGCTCAGTCCTAATGGACTGAGATCTACCTAACGCTTCCTCACCTGTGTCCCACCAGCCTCCCGTCCTAAAAAGAAAGACAACTCACGCTTTATGCCTGCCCAACCCATTCGCCAAAAGAGCGCCATTGTCATTCACAGATCCCTTCCCGAAGAAGGCTGAAGGCCCTGAGTTCTTTCCAAGGTTCCAGGACCAGGTCGGGTTCTTCTCACCTCCGCCGCCTCCTCTTTTCTGGCGTCAGGGCTTCCCATAAAGCGAGGTCCCGGTACCTAGCGTCCGGCTGCTAGAAAGAAAGCATGAATCGCAAGGACCAAAAGCCTAGGAATGGGGTGGATTTCCAGCTTGAAAACCGGGAGAATGGAGAAGTCCTATTACCTCACTAAGGTACCATAGGGAAATACCTGGTCGCTGCTGGGGAGGAGGCTCCATGGGGTCTTTACTTTTAATCGCGTAGTTCCCATCTTTGCCCCAAAGACTCCTCTTCCCCTTACAGAATCCTACTTAAAAAAAAAAAAAAAAAAAAGTGCCTTCAAAACATCTTTCTTTGAAAAGAGAATTGGGCGGAATTCTTGCTTTTCCTCCTACCCTGAGGAATGAATTCACATTTGGATGGTACCTGGAGTCAGCTAGTTACCTGCAGTTTTAAACCAACATTTATACATTACTTTAAGAGCTTATTGCCAGTACAAGTCTGTGACTTTATTTTAGTGCAAAAGAGTTTCACTAGAAAGAGAAATATTTGATGGTAGGGTAAATAACTTTTACGCAATTAATCCCAAGAATAGTGAAGTATTTTATTTCCCTAATGAGTCTAGGGTGCCTGTTTGAGAAGTCAGGCCAATTATATTTTTGGAAGCTGAGGGTCATGATTGGAGAACAGTTGTTCAAAGCAGACTCCCAGCTCCCGGAGAATCTCATCTTCAGACAGAAGTGGAGGGTGGAATTACAGTCTATCTGGATGTTTTGAGTCTGTGAGCAACTTTCTGACACTCACGTACCTCTCTGAACCTTTGCTTTCTCCCCGG